GGGGGATAGTGCATGTTGGGTGGGTGCATGGGGCCAGGGCGGACGCGAGCGAGGGTGGAGCCAGTGAGGGGCTATGGATGGCTTCTTGTGTGGGCTGAGTGAGGCTGCGGGGAGGGGTTTGTGGGCTTGATGGGGGAGTGTATGTGTGTTGGCTCCTTGCATAGCTCCGGCAACAGCGCCGCGCCGCCGCACCGCCAGGGCGAGATTGTGCGCCGGCAGCCCCGGGCCCGGCCGGCTGCCCGCGCTCGCCGTGACCGCTGCCGCGCCGCGCTTTGCACGAGACCCGCCCTGCCTGGGCCACTGCAATCCCAACCTGCTTCCCTCTGTTTAACGCAAAACCGCCACCCTCCCCACGCTTCCTTGCAACGCAGCCTCCTTCGTGCTGATGGCTCAGGTCGCCGGCTTCGTGAACGCGAGGAGGGACGCCAAGGATCTGAGGGATATCAAGGCAGATCAAGATTACGCCGAGGCCGAGGATGCGGCGGCGGCGGCGGCGGCGGCCCCCGACGCCCCGGGGGCATCCAAGGCGGCGGCGGCCGGCGGGCGTGACATCGAGGCCGCGGCCGCCGACCAGGGGACTCGCTGATGACGGCTGCTGGGCCTGTCCTGTCTCTGGCTGTTGGGTTGGAAGTTGAACGGGCGGCTGTGGGGCTGCTGGGGCCACTCCGCGCGCCTGGCCAGCGCAATTTGCCTGGGATCTGCGCGGCGGCCTCGGCTGTGCAATGCAGGGGTATCGGGTTCCTTGGACGATTGCTGCTGCTTCATAATTGTGACACAACCGGCGCCACGCATTGCTTGTGCGGAGCGCTCCAGCCTTTGCACAGTGAGAGGCTCTGCTGGCCCCCAAAGGAGTGGACCCAACATATGCATGCCTGCAGCGCGCGTCGCCGCCCTGTGGTCCTATCTTTCTTCTTTGAACCTCTCTTGCACTGGAATGGAAATCGCAGAACCCTCTCCCAACAGGGGATGCTGCCTGCACTCTGCCGTGCCTTCCCATGCGCCACCCACAGTTGTCCATCCATCCATGGCGCGCCGATGTGCTGACTGATGACAGCGGTGTGGCTCAACAGTTTTGTGACCGCCTGTCGCATTTTGTACCTCCCACTAGAGGAGTGTATTGCCTGTAACGCAGAAGACCCATGCGATGTGCTATTGGCAGGGTGGAAAATGGGTTGGTGCCATTGTGGGCGGGAGGTTGCAAAGGGAAGGAGTGCAACCCAAGGGGATGCGGCTCCGCGGACATGCGCACCGGCGTGGAGGCGTGAGGGCTGTGCTGGGCAAAATCGAGTGGGTTTGTTGGAACACACTGGCGTACCAAGAGTACTGTGCATTGCTACCAGTACACGATTTCTACGTACTTGGGTGTCGGCGAGGCAGGTGACGAACAAGTGTAGCGCATTGTTGCGAGGTCGCGAGAAGTCTGCTGTCCTAGAACGCTGCATCAATCGTACTGTACCTGAGGTATTCCTGATTGATCTGCTAGCAGCGATCTCCGAGCCCTAGCACAGCGGTCACCTCGCTCGATCAATAACAGCTAAGGTGTAGATTCATAAGGTCGGTACCATCCCGGGGCATCGTGCTCGTCAAAAGCTCACAGCATTCGCATGCTGCGGGCGAGTGCGTGCTGCATCGCACTCAGGTCCGCTCTGCGACATGCGTCGCCGCCCCACCTCCGCACAATTTGCAGGGGACCCGCGCCTCCTCAAACCTTTCGGCCCACTGGCATAGGCGCCGCAGCAGCCATGAGCCAAGCGGCGGGCAAGGGCGCACTGACGGTCGGCCAGAAAGTGGCGGCGTGGGTAGCGTCCCCCACAGGGCCCAAGACCACCCACTTTTGGGGCCCCGTCGCCAACTGGGGGTGAGTTAATCTGTCGGGCGTTTCAACCTGCGACATGCTTTGATGCCAGTTCGGCACGGGGCTGCTGCCGCTCTCCGCGCCCGCGCCGCCATGCTGCTCGCTGTGCGGTAACTCTGGTGCCCCTCGGTCTGCTCGGCCGCTGTGGTAGCAGCACGCCACACCCGCTTCTCACCCCCGTCTTGCCCACCCATCTCCCCACCCCTGACAAACACTGCCGCCTGAAGGTTTGTCATAGCGGTGAGCGCAGCCGCCTGAAGCTGGGCACTCCCTGTTCCAATTTTGAACCGGGGCCTCATTTGCTTCTTTCGGCCTCAGTGTTCAATTCTGGGCGCACTCGGCTAAGCGGGCGGCGAGGCTTTTTCACGTCAATTGGAAGCATGTGTTTGGATCTCTGGATTGGGGGTCGCTCAAACGTTCTCTACACCCTTCAACCTCGGCGCGATGCGCTGTGCGTCGCACGGGCTCTGCGCGCGC